ATAGGTTACTTCAAACCCTTTGGAAATATCTATTGCATAATCATAGGTTCAGTTTACTAAGCGCTCACTATGGAAATGTCATTTTTCTACGTCTTTAAGAATTATCTCATGATATATTCAACCGTGAGATGAGTTGTTATTATTCCCATTTTACAACAGGGAAAACCAAGACCCAGAGACATTAAGTAACCTGCCGGAAGTCACACAGTCCGAGAGTCCCGTGTTATGTTTTGCTCCTGCATTGCTAGAAATCACTCATTGCAAATAATCCTATTCTGTCCTCTGGGGACAACAGGATCCCCTGAAGGAAAAAGAGGGACATCTCTTCCAGACATGTGCTGCTCTGGAATTCTCCCGGGTTCAGAGGCACAATCCCCACCCCAACTTGGCACGATTCAGTCCTGCATGGGTTCCAGCCACTGAACTTTACCGCCGGCTGGTTCAGGAAAGCTAGCTTGGCACTGGATCTTAAGTCTTTGCAGCTGAATCATTATCCAGGAAAGCACATGACTGACCAGAAGTGAACAGGGCACGGGGGCGTCTCCCAAGCACTTACATACATCTGGGAGAAGCTGGGCATGCGGACACATACACAGATACACACAGGCAGAGCACATACACATACACACACAGAATGCACATATACACACATATGCAAAATACACTGATAAACTACACACACTCATACAAACACACATGCACACACTACACACACACAATGCACACACATGCATAGTACACAATACACACATATACACATACACATAACACATGCATGCATGCACTGCACACATACATATACACAGTGCACACACATGCACAATACACACACATAACACATGCCTACATACACTACACATACATACATATACACTACACAATGCACACACGTGCAGTACACACATACACATGCATATACACATACACATGCATACACACATAATGCATGCATACATACACTATGTACATACACATACGCTACACATACACACAATGCACACACATGCACAGTACACACATACACATGCACAGTACACACATACACATGCATACAAAATGCATACATACACTACACACATATACACTACACATAATACACACACATGTACAGTACACACATACACATATACGTAAACACATACATACACTACACACTACACATACATGCAATACACACATATGCACAGTACACAGACATGCATACGCATAAACACATACATACACACATGACACACATGTACATACTACACATGTGCACAATGCACATATGCACAGTACAGACATGCACATAAACACATGCATACATACACCACACACACTACACCCATACACACAATGCACACACACAGTACATGCATACATACACACAATACACACACATACACCATGCCTTCCTGGAGCCTGTTTTTCAGCCTCAAGCTGGAAATTCCCAGCCATTCGTTTCTGTGTTTTTCTGTCTGGCCTCACCCTTTTGGGGAATGTACAGAGGACACAAGGGAGGGAGAGGGGATTCATCGGCAAAGATCACAGGGTGAGAAGTTCAGGGCAGCTAACTCCTGAGGGGACCTGAGAACGTTGAGGGGTGGGGGCCTGTGGTCCAGTACAGTGGGCTCCAAAACTTTGGCCAGGCATCAAATCCCCTAATTTGGAGGCAGTGCAGGGTGGACTGAGGAAGAGGAGAGGGAAGGAGGCTGGGGTTGGGGGTGGGAGGGTGGTGCAGCTGGAAGGGGCGACTCCCACGCCTGGAGACTGAACTCAGCAGGTCAGAAGTGGGGCTCTGGAGCCTGTACTTTTGGGACTGTATCTCACTTTTCTCTGTAATGCTAAGGCCGAGTTCTGGGGAAAGACCTTGAGTTCTATCCCTGTTCTGCTGCTTACAAGCTGTGTCACCCTGAGCAAGTCACATGTCCCCACAGCCTTTCTCTCTCTCTCTTTCTCTCCCTCTCTCTCTCTCTTTCTCTCTTTCCTGTTTCTTTTCTTTTCTGTTTGTTTTGAGTCAGGGTCTTGCTCTCTTTTCCAGGCTGGAATGCACAGGCATGATCATGGCTCACTGCAGCCTCAACCTCCCTGGGCTCAGGTGATCCTCCCACCTCAGCCTCCCAAATAACGGGGACTACAGGTGCACAACACCACACCCGGCTAATTGTATTTTTTTTTTTTTTGAGACGGAGTTTCGCTCTTGTTAGCCAGGCTGGAGTGCAATGGTGTGATCTCACCTCACCGCAACCTCTGCCTCCTGGGTTCAGGCAATTCTCCTGCCTCAGCCTCCTGAGTAGCGGGGATTACAGGCACATGCCACCATGCCCAGCTAATTTTCTGTTTTCAACAGAGATGGGGTTTCACCATGTTGCCCAAGCTGGTTTCTAATTCCTGGGCACAAGTGATCTGCCTGCCTTAGTCTCCCAAAGTGCTGGGATTACAGGCGTGAGCCACCATGCCCAATGAGACCCTTGCTTTCATCGTCAGTAAGATGGGAATCGCTGTACATAACCTCACGCATTGCGTGGTACATTGTAAACATTAAATGAACAATGTCTACTGTTATTATATAGCTAATGTTATATAAAAATGGCCCCCTCCAAACTCTGCATTAATTGTGAGAAGACTTCAACTAACATTTAGCTCTGAAACTGAAAGAGGAAATAAAACTACACAAACACTCCAGGGTCCCTGGGGAACTGCTCTGGACTGAGCCGGAATGTAAGCCTCTCCCACTCCTGCTTCTCATCCTGAGCCTGCTGAAAAGGTTGCAATCTTGCCTAAGAATGTGATGAAAAGATAAGAGATACATTTTTTCATTTCAAAGCTTCTGTTGGTGTCTTGTGTTGCTGGTGGGTGGTGTGCAGGGAGAGTTTGGGAGCTGGAACCAGGCTTGCGGTAGGTGGAGCTCCTCCCTGGGGGTGGGAAGGGGCGAAAACTACACAAGCCTGAGTTTGGGGCAGAGCAGGGGAAGCTCACTGCCGAGAGGAGAGCCAGTATTTACAGCTTTGCACAGAGGCAGATTGATTTCTGCAAGCCCAAATCTCTATGAGGTTTAGCAGGTAGTGAAACGAGGGCAGCCAGCAAGCTACAAGAGAAAGCATGTGCCCATCATGGTGTAGCTTTCTTTGACCTACTTTTTTTTTGAGACAGAGTCTCACTGTCACCTGGGCTGGAGTGCAGCAGCACGATCTTGGCTCACTGCAGCCTCTGCCTCACAGGTTCAAGTCATTCTCCTGCCTCAGTCTCCCAAGTAGGTGGGATTACGGGGGTATGCCACTACATGTGGCTAATTTTTGTATTTTTAATAGAGACATGGTTTCACCATGTTGGCCAGGCTGGCCTCGAACTCTGACTTCAAGTGCTCCGACCACCTCGGCCTCCCAAAGTGCTGGGATTACAGGCGTGAGCCACCACACCCAACCCTTGACCAACCCTGAGCCAAGATGGAAACTTGGGCTCAGATAAAAATATCCTCACTATAAGAAAAACAAGAGAAGGGAAGTGACAAATGGTAACTGATGTGGGCACAAGGTCTAGGGGATCCAGGAGGTGGAGAGGATGGTAGGAAATGGGAGGGCTGACCCAAGCCTGCTCTATCTCAAATGGTAGCTGCTGCCTGGACCAGCCCACTGTCACCCTGGAGGTGCACGGGCCAGTGGTGAATCTGAATCTTCTGAATCACCTGACAGAGCATAGGAAAGTGAGTTTATGTGTGCAATTTCCTGATTTTTCAATGTTGCCTCTAATTTTTAAAAAATTAGCATCTTAGCCTGTCGTGGTGGCTCACACTCGTAATCCCAGCACTTTCGGAGTCTGAGGTGGGCGGATTACGAGGTGGTCAGGAATTCAAGACCAGCCTGTCCAATATGGTGAAACCCCGTTTCTACTAAAAAATACAAAAATTAGCCAGGCATGGTGGCACACGCCTATTCCCAGCTACTCTGGAGGCTGAGGCAGGAGAATTGCTTGAACCAGGGAGATGGAGGTTGCAGCGAGACGACATGGTGCCACTACACTCCAACCTGGGTGACAGAGTGACTAAACACTCCATCTTTAAAAAAAAACAGCATCTTAGATTCATGTAGACATTGAATATAAGACATACCATTAGTCATGTAGACATACCAATCTATTGATTATAAGATAGTCTGATATTTAATAAACTACTACTAAAGAAAAAAGCCTGCCAATTTAGCTACAACAAGCTATGGATTACAAAATGAATCTCAATTGCAAACATGTCACAGTGTGAAAAGGATGCATCTTAACATCCATGAAATATTGGATATCAATAGGCTGGACCTGGTCTGTGGCAGCCTTGTGTAGTTTCCAACCTGCACAACTGTACACAGCAGCTCTTATGAAGCCCCCCAGGACTCCGAAGGGCTTAGGGGCCACCAGGAGGCTCACACTTGGGTCACATCTGTGAACTCCCAAGTCCCGTAAGAAGTAATCCCTCTTTGATCTTCATCTGAACCAGGAAGGCTGCAAAGAGGAAAGTGTGGGCCAGTTTCCTTCCTCCCATGGGGCACTAGTTCACTGACAGTGGTGGTCCCAGGGCCCCGGGCATGGTGGTTTAGCAGGCATGGGGTAGGGCTTCAGAGGGATTCTGATCCTGCCAGATGAAGAGAGGCCTCACACTCACATTTATACAGGCCCAGAGAGGTGAGCGCCCTGGCCCAACATCAGACAGCCGAGTGGAACAGAGCCGAGCCAAGGGCCCGGCCCTCCTCACTCCGATCCTGGTGCTTCTCCTCTTGATGACTGTAAAAATCTCTGCCTGGATAATCGCTTGAACCCAGGAGGCAGAGGTTGCAGTGAGCCGAGATGGTGCCATTGGACTCCAGCCTGGGTGACGGTGTGAGACTCCATCTCAAAAAAAAAATCTCTGCCCTACTGCCCCACGTGAACTGGAGGCAGGGGTCTCCAGGGCTGAAAGTGGTCTTGGCCCTCCCCAGCTCCTTACCCCCTGAAGCCCTGGTTGCTGGACTTGTCCCCAGAGAAATAACCTGCATTGATTCACAAGACTTTTACATTTTATTAGTAAAATACAAAACGGCACAGACATTGGTGATGAGGGTTGGAAAAGTCAAAGGATCAATCTACCCTTTCCAAATCTTCCTACATCATCCTCATCCATGTCCCGCTTGGAGAAACTAACAGTGTCCATGGAAGGGGGACCAGCTGTCCCCAGCAGCTTCCTCACAAAGGAGGAGGGGCCCCATCAGCGGGTGCCCCACCCCTGGAAGGCTCTCCCAGACTGGAAGAGCCAGAACAAAGTGCATCGGACCCACTGTTACCCTCTCTGAGCTGCCAGAGTGAGCCCACTTGAGCCATTCCCTGAGCTTCCTGAATATATTGCACCATGCCCAGCAAGGGAGTGCAGAGGCCGGGTGGGCAGGGCCACACAGCTTCCTGCTCTCTGTGGACCAGAGCTGCATTTCCTTCCTCCAACCATCCATCTGTGAATGTGTGTTCCTGGCACCTGGGTAGAATCCAGCCCACGACGAGAGGCCCCTCAGGTAGAGGGCAAGGGTCAGCCTTGGGGACAATCCAAGGGAGAGGTGAGCTGCCACGAGGGACTCTGAGGGGCCAGGCTGGCAGGTGCAACCCCATCCAGGCATGCTTGAGCCTTCAGTAGCCCAAAAAGGGAAGCCATGACTTTATGCTTACAACTTGCCCTTTCCCATGTCCCACCCTCCTTCCCGGGTAGAGTCCCTTTCAGAAACAAACAGGGGACACGTGGAAACATGGAAATCCCTGGTCCTGTCTGCGGTGGGGACAAAGATGAAGGAGAAGTTCTCGGAGGGCAGAGAACAGTGTTTTCAAGGAGTGAGAGAGGTGGGAGGGGAACCCAGACTTCAGGAAAGAATCTGACATGTGTGGGGTGGGATCACGAGGGTCTCAAGGCCTGGCTGCCTGTGGGAGTCCCTGAAGGAGCGTCAGGAGTGTGGCTGCTCCTGAAACCTTTCCTGGGCTTCTTAGACATGTGCCTGGAGCCCTCCCTTCTCCCTCTTAGGGGGTGGGGGGAGGCAGAGCTCGGGCTGTCTCAGTGGCTGAACCTGGGTGGGGCCTTCAGGGATGGTCTCTGCTCTGCCCACCTCCATCTGGGGACCCACAGAGCAGGATCTGTGCTATCAACTCACTCCCTTGCAGGCCCTCTGGGTCTCAGGGTCCAAAGACAAGTTAGTCCATCGGGAGGAACTAAGTGGTCTGCTAATAAGGACTGGGAGGCTGCATCTGGGACTGGAGAGAAGGGCTTCAGGTCAATGAGCGATGTCAGGGGGATGGGTATTCCTTGCCCCCCTCTTTCCTTTCACAGATGGGAGTAACTTTGTGGGTTGATGGTGGAACTAGGATCAGAACCCAGCCTTCAGACTTAGCACAGCATAGGCCAAGGAGGAAAGCCACCAGTTGTCAAAGCCACCAGACAGCCTCATCTCCCCTTCCCACAATGCCTAAGCCATGGCAGAGCCTCACTGGGAGCAGTGCCAGGAAACACCACACTAGCCTCATGCAAGAAAAGACACGTCACCAGTGGGGAGTGGGCTCTGTACAGAGGGGCTGGGGAGATAGCACCACAGGTGACCGGGGTGACTGTCAACCTCAGCAGGACCAGGAGACATAATGAGGCCTGGGGGAGTGGGCAGAGGGGCCTGGCCTGAGGCTCACGTGTGAGATGGGAGGACTGTGGTACTCACAGGGCTGCATGGGTCAGAGGGGGCTGGGCATTTAATAAATAATTGTTCATTGGGGCTGGGATGGCATCAAAGGGAACCTCTAACCAGCCAGCAGCAGAGGAGAGTTTTGGGGCTGGGGTGACTTAGGAGGCCACCCCGTCTGTCCCTGGAAGGTGGAGAGTAGTCAAGCCTGGCCTCCTGGGTGTGCCTGGGAGCTTGGAGCCTGTGCACCTGGAGGATCCCACCTCCCTGCTCCAATCATCCCAGCTCAGGCCAGGCCCTTAGGTGGGGGTGGGTATGAGGATGAGGGACCCCAGGCAGCTGTCTGAGTCAAACAACTAGACCCAGGCCGGGGGAGCTCACACAGGCACCAGGACATAGGAGTTACTACCACAGCTCCGGGGGACGTAGCGAAGGCCTTCCACCATCTCTCCCGCCATCTTCCGAGGGCAGCCCTGGAGGTTCTGGTAGGCAAACATGGCCACCCCCAGGCAGAAGAGGAGGCCTAGGAAGGCCAGCAGCCCCACCGCCTGCCTCCTGGTGGCTTCCTGGGTGTCAGAGGTAGGAGTGATAAGGATGATCTGCCTCCGGGAATTTGAGGTGGGATGGATGGGTTCCTCAGACTTAGGGGTCCAGCTGCCTGAAGTCACTGGCTCCCTGCTGGGTGTCCCTTCTGAGGAGACAGGGACCACAGAGATGTGGGCCATGCTGCCAGGTCCCCAGTCCGGGAGGGCATCCGTGTGCGCTGGCACGGGACCCATCTCCGGCTCCAGAGACGGCACTGGCCTGGGGCTCTGTCCCTGCCTCCACACGGGCTGGCCTTCAGACCCAGTGTTCTCTGGGGCTGGGGAGGAAGTAGTGGGGGCCTGGGTGAAGGGAGCCTGGGTGGAGGGGGCCTGGGTGGAGGGGGCTTCGGTGGAGGGGACCTGGTTGGAGGGGGCCTGGGTGGAAGGGGCCTGGGTGGAGGGGGCCTGGGTGGAGGGGGCCTGGGTGGAGGGGGCCTGGGCGGAGGGAGCTTGGGTGGAGGGGGCCTGGGCGGAGGGGGCCTGGGTGGAGGGAGCTTGGGCGGAGGGGGCCTGGGCAGAGGGGGCCTGGGTGGAGGGGGCCTGGGTGGAGGGGGCCTGGGTGGACGGGGCGTCAGAAGTGGGCCCAGGTTGGTGGGGAGCAGAACTCTGCCACGAGGAAGCAGTAGAGACAGGAGGCAGGCGAAAAAGCTCCGTGCCCGCAGGCCCTCCATCCTGAGCCTTTGGTGTCGGGGGGATCCTGGTCCCTGAGGAAACAGCCACTCCCGTCGGCAGCTCTGGGGAGGTCCCCAGGGCCCTCTGTTCCTCCTGTGAAGAAGGGGTCAGCTGCAGTCTACTGCTTTCACCTGTGGCTTCGGGCTCCTGGACCACGGACTCCTCCATTACCCCGGCGGCAGGGATGGTCCAGGGCGTCTTCCCGCCGATCAGCTTCTCAATGGTGCCATCATTTTGAGTCCGAGCAGCAGCCTGGCGGTCTAGATGCTGCTTGGCTTCCTGGACCCACTTCTCCTTCGGGTCAGCACAGAACAGCCTGTTCTCTCTTGTCTCCAAGCTACAAGGGAGGAAGACAGGAATCCAGTGATGCCCAAATACCAGAAACCTGGCCAGCATGGTGTGCGGGCACAGCACCAATGCCCTGCGGACGAACAGACCCGGCTGGAAACCCTGCTCTCCCACTTAGCAGCTGTGAGGCAACTGACCACCTGGGCAGCCCACCCTCCTGAGCTCCCCGTCGTCACCTGAGAAATGGAGATAGGAAAGCCTCCCCTCTGTAGGGTGACCAGCCATCCCAGAAAAATTGGGATGGAGGGGGTGCTCAGGATGAGGGACTTTCCATTTTAAAACTTGGGAAGTCCCAGGCAAACAGGGATGAGGTGATTACCCTACTTTTGTGTTACTGTAAAAAAAGGTAAATTATGCGAAGCACCTGACTCAGAGTAGATCAGTAACAGCTGAAAACAATAACAATGTGGCTAATTTTGTTCCCGTTAAGGCAGGGGGCTCTGGGCTTTGGGTCTCCTGCTGGGGTAGGGACTTCACAGGTGTTCTCTGATGCCAGGTGTGTGCAGGTGAGCTCTATATGGCCTCCTCACTCTGGAACAGGCCTTATGAGACTTTGTGAGTCTTGTTGCTCCTCTCCTTCAGTTTCATGGCTACAGGCTATGCTCCGGACCCTCCTCCCCTCCTGATGTGTGTTCATGGGCAGTAGGGGTAGAGCCAAATATATGCAGCCTCATTGGGAGCCCAAGTGCCCTCCAGTCTTGAACTTCTGAAGCCGTTTATGACTGGTCACCACCAAGCCCACAGCTCAGAGCTGACAGAGACCCTGGCTCCATGCCGTAGCCTGTGCTTGGCATTTTGCCCATATTTAAACCTCACACCCATCCCACAGGTGGGTACCAGGCTCATTCCCATGTTACAGATGAGGAAACAGGCTCGGAGAGGTGAATTAAAGGCACCTGGCTCCAGGAAGCCAGAAAAGTCCAGGAAGCAGGCGTGCAGGCCCCCTGGGCAAAGTGACCCCCTCCCCGACTTCCTTCTTCCCCTTCATCTAGAAAACAAAATATATTTGGCGGTGTCTTGGGGAAGTAATCCTTGACTGCGCAGCAAAGAGGTCAGGCAGGAGCACGCTCAGCACCTTACCCACCTTAGAAACTGCGTAATTGAGGAGAGGAAGTGCCAGACTTCCTTTAGCTGAGCCTAGAAAGCAAAAAGCCATTGGCATTTCCTGGTGCCAGGCCCTTAGGTCTGGCTGAGGCTGCTTTAGGGCCCAAAAGTCAGTCCTGGGGAAAGGCCTCAGGGCAGGCTGCTTAGGCAGATCCCAAGAGAAACCCTAGGAGGAGCAAGTGGCCAAGATGGCCAGGGTCATCAACAGCCGGGGAGAGAATGGCTCCATCCCTCCCCAGAGTCTCACAGTCTCACAGTGGCCCCAGTTCCTCTTCTGCCAAATGGAGGTGGTAATCTCTACAGCTCCTACTGTCAGCACCCTGCCAAGCACTTAATTTTATTTTTTTTCTTTTTTCCTTTTTAGAGATGGAGTCTTGCTCTGTTGCCCAGAGCAAGACTTGCTCGGCTCACTGCAACCTCCAACTCCTGGGTTCAAGCGATTCTCCTTCCTCAGTCTCCTGAGTAGCTGGGATTACAGGTGCCCGCCACCATGCCTGGCTAGTTTTTGTATTTTTAGTAGAAATGGGGTTTCACCATGTTGGCCAGCCTGGTCTTGAACTCCTGACCTCAGGTGATTTGGAAGGCTCACTCGCCTCAGCCTTTCAAAGTGCTGAGATTACAGGTGTGAGCCACCACGCCCCTGCCAAGCACCCCAGTTACATCATGTCCTAGCAACCCATTTTATAGACTAGGAAATCAACATGCAAAAAGTAAGCAATGAAAGCAGGGCCACCCAGCCAGTAAGCGGGAAGGCAGGATTTGCACCAGGTCTGCTGGAGTCTGGAACCTGCATTTTAGGACCCTCATGCACCTCCCTGCACCCTGCCCCCACCCATGAAATCTCATGGGTTCAAGTGCCGGGTAACATGTGCTTCAGCCCAGGAGGAATTACCACCCTTGATGACTGCTCCAGGCCACAAGCCAGGGTGGCTCCCACCCAGCCACACTGGGCCATTCAGGAAGCTACTCTCCACCTTAGCCATGTGGCACAGAAATTAAGGTCAGGGAGGTGGCCTGCAGGCCAGGGGCAAGAGAAGTGTGTGCTGAGGACTCTGCCTGGGAGCCCAGGTCTGGGAGGGGAGGTATAGACACAGGTTCTCAGAGGCCTGGGAGTATTCTAAGGGCCCGAAGGGGATTTCTGAGGCCTCGAGGGCGGTACCTACATGATGGCAGGTTTGCCGCACGATGCCTGGTTATGTTGATAGCGGATGAGCAAAGTCACAGGTATCCTTTTCGACGTCATCTTGCTGCACGTGATGTTGCATTTCCTCACACCGTGGTGCTGTCCTGAGTCCACAGAAGTCCCTTGTCAGCAGGGATGTCTGTGGGCATCTGGCTTCCCAACCCCGTGCCAGCTTGTCCTGGCCATCCCACCCAAGCCAAAGCTGATTCCCTGCACACCCTGGCCTTCAAGGCCTTTGACTCAGCCTCCCTCTCCCGCCAAACTTCTCTACGCCTCAGTTTCCCCACCTATAAAGTAGGAACAAAAATACTACCTCGTAGGCTTGTTATAAGATTAAAAACCTGAATTCTTAAAGTTTTTTTTAACTGGCACGTGTTAAGAGTTTAATTTTTAAAATTAAGTGGTCCATTGTGCTGCAGGGGGGATGAGTCTAAGAGTGACAGGGATCTGCTAAGGTCACACAGCTACACAATTAGCAAGGGATGGAACTAGTTCTCCTACCAGGCCTGGCTCCAGTCTCCACTGGGCCTGTGACCTTGCCTGTCCCCTTATCTCTGTCTTATTCCCACCCCACCCCCATTTTTTTTTTTTTTTTTGAGGAGGAGTCTCGCTCTGTCACCAGGCTGGAGTGCAGTGATGCAATCTTCACTCACTGCAACCTCTGCCTCCTGGGGTCAAGCGATTCTCCTGTCTCAGCCTCCCGAGTAGCTGGGATTATAGGTGCCCACCACACCCAGCTATTTTTTGTATTTTTAGTAGAGATGGGGTTTCACCATGTTGGCCAAGATGGTCTTGATCTCCTGATCTCGTGATCCGCCCACCTCGGCCTCCCAAAGTGCTGGGATTACAGGCTTGAGTCACCGTGCCTGGCCAATTTTTTTTATTTTTTTAAGAAATAGGTTCTTGCTCTGTTGCCCAGGCTGTAGTGCAGTGGTGTAATCCTAGCTCACTGTAACTTCAAAATCCTGGGCTCAAGGGATCCTCCTGGCTGGATGCTGTGGCTCACGCCTGTAATCCCCGGGTCAGCAGGGCCAGGGAGGAGGGACCCCCTGAGGTCAGGAGGAGGCTGAGGTGGGTGGATCACCTGAGGTCAGGAGTTGAAACCAGCTCGATCAATATGATGAAACCTCATCTCTACTAAAAATACAAAATTAGCCGGGCATAGTGGCATGCACTTGTAGTTCCAGATACTCAGGAAGCTGAGACAGAAGAACTGCTTGAATCCAGAAGGTGAAGGTTTCACTGAGCCCAGCTGAGATCGCACCACTGCGCTCTAGCCTGGTGACAGAGCAATACTCTGTTTAAAAAAAAAAAAAGCTGGGTATGGTGACATGCGCCTGTAATCCTAGCTACTCAGGAGGCTGAGACAGGAGAATTGCTTGAACCTGGGAGGCGGAGGTTACAGTGAGCCAAGACCATGCCATTGCACTCCAGCCTGGGTGACAGAGTGATACTCTGTCTCAAAAAAAAAAAAAGAGAAACAGTGAGAGAGAGATCCTCTTGCTTCAGCCTCCCAAGTAGCTGGGACCACAGGTGCATGCTACCATGCCTGGTTAATTTTTTTAAGAGATGAGGTCTTGTTGTGTTGCCCGGGCTGGTCTTGAACCCCTGACCTCAAGCGATCCTCCTACCTCAGCCTCTGGAGTAGCCAGGATTACAGATGCAAGCCACCATGCCTAGCAATAAACTTCTTAAAAACATATAACTATAACTGCTTTCTAAGGAAGGTGGGCTCTGCTGAATAGATAATCCTTTGTTCTGCTGTTAAGAGCCAGAGTGAGTCTGAGGGCAGTTCCTGAAAGGTAGAGTCATCCTGCCTAGGAGGGAAGAGACATTTGAAGTTCCTGGAGCAAGAGGAGTGGGGGGAGGATTGGAGATGGAAGGTATGAATAGGGTGGGGGCAGAGTGGGGCGGGAGGGGCAGGCAGTAGCTGAGTGTCATGTGGAGCCAGAGAAATGCCAGGACAGGATGAGAATATCTAAACCCAAATATTTGACACAAACGATTGAAGTTGCTTGCATTGCATTTCCACCTTCCCTTGTCTCCTAAAATTCCCAGCAAATTTTTTTCTACTTAGTGTGAGCTCAGGGAGAATGAATATAAAAAACAAGGAAGAGCTTGAGTTTCAGATCTGGGTCAAGGTTATGTGCAGCAAAAGCAAGACCCCAACATCTGGAGGCCAGGGCAGGCAAGAAAGCAAGCTGATCTTATCAGCCCTTCAGGGCCTGGGAGACCCCCAGCCCATCCCTGGGCTCCACCAGAACACAAATTGCTCATGCACAAATACTTACATATATGTGGCCATGTAAACATACTCCACCTTCCTAATTTACAGGCGCATGCACATGCACGTGCGCACGCACGCGCACGCACATGCACGTGCGCACGCACGCGCACGCACACACACACACTTTACAGAATCTGCTGCTTCCTCTCTCCATCGCTCTACCTTAGCCTTGACCCACCCTGCTTTGTGGGGAGGTGGTTGAGGGCCTGCAGGTCTGAGTTGAGTCATCAAGCAGTAGCCCTAGTAGCTTTAGGAGGTTGGAGGGGGATGTGCAGGAGGGGCCCCCCAAGTCACAGGGCTGTCCTTTCTCTCTGAGTAACAAGGGTATAAAAGTCACTGTGTGGGCTGGCCATCCTCCTTCTGCAATGTGACCTCAGGATGACTCACCTGTGGCCTCCCCAGGCCCTGTTGAGTGGAGGCCAGGTGGCAGTCCCCTAAACTGGCCTGCAGGTGTCTTCCTGGGAAAACTCCAGAAAATATGGTGCCTCTGAGTGACAGGAGATAGGAAGAGGCAAGGGAGGCTGCCCAGTGAAGGGAGGCTGCCCAGTGGGTAGGAAGGAAGGTCCATTCTTTATGTCCCAAATCCAGGATGGGGAAAGCCACTGCCCACCTCCAGGGCTGTAAAGAGCCACAGTGTCTCCTGTCTCCAAAGTCCCCACCCTCTGCATGGTGCCTAAATGGTCCTGGGCTGGCTCAGTTATTGGTCCTACCAGGAAGGTTGTGTAACTAATCTGGGGAGCCTGTCCCTTCTCAGAGCTGAAGTTTTCTTTTCTGTAAATGGAAACAATACCTCATCCAGCCAGTCATCTATTATCTATTCATAGGAATGAAGGAAGGCAGGGACCTCATCTGTCTCGGTATCACAGTTTCCCAGCATCAAGCACAAGCTGGGTACTCAATCAATATTCATTGAATGAAATTATGTTTCAATTTACTTATCTCTCTGTAATGCATCTATCTACCTAGCCATCCATCCGTCCACCCACTCTTATCAATCTTCCACCCATTCCCCACCCACCTGCCACCTATCACCCATCCCCTACTCATCTCTATTTATCCATCTACCCACTCCCTCTCCCCCACCTACCACCTGTCCATCCTCCACCCCCTTTTATCTCACCCACTCATCCATCCCTCATCATCCCCTCACCATCCCTTCTTCCATCCATCCATCTATCCATCCATCCATCCATCCATCCATCCGTCGTCCATTCATCCACTTCCCTGATTTAGCCAACACTTGTTGGAATTACTTTTGAGTATATATAGAATCTCAGGACCTCTTATCCTTAACCTTCAGCTCTTTCTCCCATAGGCACTGGTGCTGAGCTTGGAGAGAGCACTTCCATCCCAATAAATGCCCTCAGATCACTCTGTTTTTTTGTCAATCAGCAAATGCTCGTTCCTCTTGCCAGGCCCTGTGCTGCGTGCTGTGAGGTACAGTGAGGTGAACAAGGACCGCCTCTGCCCTCAGAAGCGTCCCAGCCTTATGGGCAGGTAAAACAGGCACACAAAATGTCAGCTTTTTCTTAAATTGAGCATCTACTGTGTATCGAACCCTGTGTCCAGCACGTGCATGTCTACTCTCTTTAATTCCCAACATCCCTGCAAAGGGAGTATTATTGTCCCCACCTCACAGATGCAGAAGCTGGGAATAAGAGAGGTTAAATGTGCCCAATGCCTCACAGCTTCGTGGTGGCAGAGCTAGTTTTCTACCCAGCCCCTAAACACCCCACTGTTCTAGGCTATCCTAGATGCCAGGTAGAAACACAATATTCCCGAACATCCCACAAACATACTGGGGTTTACGTGAGGGAGAGACCACTTCCAATTTCAAATGACCAGGGAAGGCTTCTTGGAGGAAGTGTCCTTTAGACTGGACCTCAAGGACTTCTTCCAGGGTCTTAGAAGGAGACTTGGGAAATGTCCTGGGTCTGGGTGAGGTGATAGAGACAGGGCTTGAGCCACTGCTCAGCTGTGTGTCCTGAACAAGTCACTCAGGCTCTCAGTTTCCTTACTTATAAAATGGATGTGACCAATAGCCGCTTCACAGTGTGGTTGTAAGAATAAGCATTTTTTAGCAGCTGCAGCATTTTTCCCTTAGGGCAGAATTTCTCAACAGTGCCACTTTGGACCAGACAATCCTTTGTTTTGGGGCCGTCTGTGCACTGCAGGATGTTTAGCAGCATCTCTGGCCTCCACACACTAGAGGCCACTAGCTCAACTGAACCAGAAACCCTGGGACATTTGTAACAAGCAAAACTGTCTCCAGAAATTGCCAAATGGCCCCTGGGGGAGCAAAATCACTCACTGAGGACCATTGCCATAGATATATCCACATGGCTCCCTCCCTCACCTCCCTCCAAACTGTGCAAAGCCACCTACTCAGTGGGCTTCCTAGCCCCTATTTAAAATGTCAACACCTCTCTCCCCCCGTTTCTATTTCATTTTGAGATGGAGTCTCGCTCTGTCACCCAGGCTTTAGTGCAATAGCACAATCTTGGCTCACTGCAACCTCTGCCTCCCAGTTTCAAGTGATTCTCCTGCCTCAGCTTCCTGAGTAGCTGGGGCTATAGGCTAGCACCGCCACACCCAGCTAATTTTGTATTTTTTAGTAGAGATGGGGTTTTGCCATGTTGGCCAGGCTGGTCTTGAACTCCTGACCTCAGGTGATCCACCTGCCTTGGCTTCCCAAAGTGCTGGGATTACAGGCGTGAGCCCCCGCACCTGGCCTCCCCTCTCTATTTTTTGATCACTGTGTTTTTCTTCTTCCAACAGACCAAATTGTTTACTGATTTATTTGGTGTATGATCTGTCCTCTTCAGGTGAATTACAGCACCCCGAGGGCTGAGGTCCTTGGCTGTTTTATTTATGGATGCCGCCCCTGTACCTAGAACCAGTTTTGTCACACAGTAGATGTCCAATAAGTATTCATTGAAGGAATGGAGGAATTTTCATTTAAATTCGACAGGGGCCTGGATCTGACACTCTTGAATTTATCCTCCCCTGCCCTCCTCATCCACCCCCACTGCTAATGATGGGGGCGGGCTATAGGAGCTTAAAACAGATTGGTTTTTTCTCTTTCTTGCCGGGACTTGAGTGGGAGTGAATGCGTCAGCTCTTGGAGGGGGAGAATGCTCTGCACTGACTTGTAGAGGCAGGTTTGTTATATAAAGCACAGAAGCCTCCTGCCTGACACAGCCCCACAAACCCACATTTGGCGACTGACGCAGCTGTCCCGCACCAGTCAAGGCAGCAGCTACGAATCCCCCAGCCTCCTCTTGGAGTCTCTGGTTTCTACACCACCCCCTAGTCCTGTAGGGGCTCCTGAGGGCCTCTCGGAGCCTTACATGTCGGCGCTGGAGAGGGCTTCCAAGGTGAGCCTGGTCGAATGCCCGGTTTTACAGAAAGGGAAACTGAGGCTGAGAAAGGTTGCAATAATACCCAGGATCTTCCATTAAAGCCAATGACCAAGATGAGGGCAGAAGCCTGGTTCTAAAGCCTCAGGCTGCTAGTCAGAACATCCAGGGTCCCCCAGAGTCCCCTTTCCATCCTAGCCTAGGACCCTTCCCCCTTCTCGGCTTAGTAAAAGTAATCCTCCTCCACCCCCTTCAAAACACCCCCATAGGCATTGGAACCTCATCACCCTCCCCCACCCCACCAGAGAGGTAATAGCTATATTTAAAGATGCAGCAGCTGGGACCAGAGGAGGCAAGACCCTGCCCAGGGTCACACAGCAAGACTGTGGCAAAGCCTCCACCATCTGATTCCCCACCTTCCAGTGCTCACTGACCCCAGACACCTCAGGCTTCAGGGCCCAAGCCCAGAAAGCAGGAAGCCAGCAGGAATTCGCCTCCCCACATGCCCACACACCCATGCACCTGCTCCCTGCCCTAGGGTGAGTTCGCTCCATGGAAACATCTGGGAGCTGAGGACTACTTCTCATTCTCCCAAACTTGCCATGTGCCCACAGGCAGTCTCACCTTCTCTGAGTGTCACCCTGCCAAATGGTGGGAGCACTCCCTGAGGAGGGAGCTGGCTAGCGGTTCAAGGAGGTGGTGTAGCCCACAGACTCAGTGAGTGTGCACCTATGCTCTCTCCTGCATTCAGTTCCAAGAATTTTACCTCTCCTGCCCTACTTGCTGGCTGTGCATCCTTGGGCCAGTTTCTAAACCTCTCTGGGCCTCCATCTTATCCACATCAGGTGGGATGGCTAATAATGTGCCCTACCAGGTCCTGGGCTTCAGTAAGCAAGTGGCTAGAGGCAAAAGCATTTTCTACACCATGCTTGGATGAGGAAGACAGCGTGTTGGGTAGACAGAGGCAGAGCAATGGGAGCGATAGACTAGGGCAGCAGTGGCAAGCCCCAACCATGAGCGGCAGTGACCTTGACCTTCACTGGTCCTGGGCCTCCTAATCCTGGAGGCTTTGAAAACAGAGCGGGAGAAATCCCCAACTGTGGCCTGACCCAGGGCCAGGGCTGTGGGTTACACATTAATACTGAATGGAAAGAGCCAGCCACTGTCAGCCAGGGCGTCCCACCCCAGTGCCCACCAGGAGCTTCTGCAGGTTCCCTCCACCCCCTCCTTTCTGACACACCCACACCTGGCCCCTTTATGCCACCTACACCACCTCTCTGTGCTCACTGGCCAGGCAAGGGCAGTCACTGGCAACTGGAAATCTGTCCAGTACTGCATCTGGAGCCGGGGAGGTTCCCAGCCCCCTCCTGCACATGCTGGGGAAGGGGCTGCCACTGACCTTCAGCTTTACCCAGGCAGGGCCTGGGGCCCCTGATGTCAGGCCTGAGGGGCAGAGGAAAGGCTGAGGGCTCCCAACCCTGTTCATGCTTGAGTCCAGGTCCCACTTACCGGCCAGCGGGACAGTCAGATGGCAGAGGGTGGCCAAGTGGAGCAGCCACCAGAGAGATATTGGAGCCATGGCCAAGGGTGGGCAAGGGTCCAGGCAGGTGCCCGGGCAGGCGGCTATAGCCAGGCGGCAGAGCTCAGTGCTGTCCCCTCGATGCCGCCAGAGCTCTTTCGCTTTTTATAGAGGCTGGCTGCCTCCGCCTCCAGCCCCCGCAGGCAGGAGGGTGGGAGGGGAGAGGAAGGGAGCCAGCGTGGAGCCGCTGGATTCCTCAGGATGTTACCAAGGAACCAACCCGGCTCTGGGCTGAGCACCATCCTAGGTTCCTCATACTGGGAACTGCCCGGGAGGCTGGACCCTGCCTGCCTGAGTACCAGGGCGTCCTCTCCTGCTACAAGCTGGGAACATGCCCTAGGACCTGGCCTGGGGCCCCTGGCTCCTACATGGGCAACACACTAAAGGCCAGCAGGGCCAAGGAATAGAAAGCAGGGTGCTAGGGGGCCGGGAGGGACTCAGGGCCCCTCCATTCTGGGTCTGACAAGCTCTTCTTTAATCCAGGGAATACCTTGCCCAAATCAGGATGGACCCTCAAGTTTCCCCTCTTAGAATCCCAAGCTCCTGGGGGACGTTGTTGATCTATGCATCTCTGGATCCCAGCAGGGAGCCTGCAGTCAGCAGGGGCTTGGTTCAGAGTCTGCTGAAAGAAAGATCGAGTCCAACTTCATATGGACAGATGGGGAAACTGAGGCCCGGAGCCACCCCAGATTACCCACAGCATCAGGGTGGAGAACCTCCCTCCCACCACCAAGATGAGCAGAATGTGGGCAGCTCAGGACCCAGGAGAGTGTCCTAGCCTCCCTGCCTCCACCTCCCGGCCTCTTCCTCCTCGCTTTGCACCCACTCCCATCTCTGCTCTGGCCCCAGCCCAGAGAACAACATGGGTGCCAACCCATCCCTGAGAACTCTGGCTCTTGGCTCCTCAACTCTGCAGCTGTGCCCTGGAGAAGCCCTGCCTCTCGTGTGGCCTGAGTTCTCCATCTGCTCAAGGAGGGCATTGGGCTAGTGCACCAGGGAGGAGCTCCCCAGCTCTGGCCTTCCAAGGTCATTCTCCATGAGAGTTGGCAACAGAACCACACAGGGCCAGCCAGCAGGCCTTCAGTGAAGGCTGCAGAGGCTTTCCAGCCTTGGAAGCACATTAAAACACAGCCCGCCTTCAGGGAAGCCATCCCTAAAGGCAGTGGCAGCAATCCCTGAGACTCCAGAAGAGGCAGCAGCCCTACCTTGGGCCAGGACTGAGCTGTACTGGTGTCTTGAGGGAAACCAATTGTGGAGCCAGCATCCCACGCTATGAGCCAGATGGGCTGGGCAGAGGGGTCACAGATCCCAAGGCCAGGGTTCTCTCTCTCCTCAGCCACCCTCCACCCAATGGGCTGCCTGGGGTGTGGGGCTATGAGGCTAGCTACTTCCTGAGGTGGCAGAGCATCCTTGGCAGGGGCCAAGGTCCACTTAGGCTCAAGAATCTGTCCCGGCCTGAGCACATGGGAAGTGACTAGCCTTCTCATTCCCACTGTCCAATCCCTCTTTTTGTAACTGGGGAAACCAAGGCCCAGAGAGGGACAAGGAGGGATGAAAACTGAGGTCCAGTGTTCTTTCTGCTCTGTCCATGCAAGGACACAGGAGGAGCCCGGGTGCGATGGCTCACGCCTGTAATCCCAGCACTTTGGGAGGCCAAGGTGGGTGAATCACCTGAGATCAGGAGTTCGAGACCAGCCTGACCAACATGGTGAAATCCTGTCTGTACTAAAAATAAAAAAGTTATCTGGGCATGGTGGTACACGCCTGTAATCCCATCTACTTAGGGGGCTGAGGCAGGAGAATCCATTGAACCTGGGAGGTGGAGGTTGCCGTTGAGCCAAAATTACACCACACTGCACTCCAGCCTGGGTGACAGAGCGAGACTCCATCTCAAAAAAAAAAAAAGAACAGAGGAGGAAGAAGGGGTAGGGGTGGGAGGAAAAAGAGAGAAGGGAAAAGAGGAGAGAAAGGGGAGAGAGAGAAGAGGGGAGGAAGGGTATAAGGAAGGGGAGAAAAGGAAGAGAGGGGAGGAGGGAGAAGACGGGGAGGAAGAAGGGGCCTGCCCAGGGAAGCGGTACACTTCGTAAAGAACAAGAGCTAGGTGGGACAACTGCTGGGGAGTAGAGATCCTTATTTCCTGGCACCCGACTATGTTCCAAAGAAGTATTTAGAAAGCAAGGACTTTGGGGCCCAGCGCAGTGGCACATGCCTGTAATCCCAGCACTTTGGGAGGCCGAGGTGGGCGGATCACTTGAGGTCAGGAGTTTGAGACCAGCCTGGCTAACATGGTGAAACCAGTCTCTACTAAAAATACAAAAATTAGCCAGCTGTGGAGTAGCCCTAGCTACTCAGGAGGCTGAGGCAGGAGAATCGCTTGAACCTGGGAGTTGGAGCTTGCAGTGAGCCGAGATCACTCTGCTGCACTCCAGCCTGGACAACAAGAGTGAAACTCTGTCACAAAAAAAAAAAAAAAAAAAAAAATATATATATATATATATATATTTCCCCTGCACTTAGGTTCACCAGCCAGGAAATGAGGGATCCTGGATTGATCCCAGCCAGCAGGCTCTGAGGTCTGAGCTCAAGATCAGTAGGCTCCACCACCTGCCTCCAGCCCCACTTCGAGGACCAATGTGAGGACTAAGTGAGTTTATGTCCCTAGGGTGCTGGGTCAGAGCCTAGAGCACAGGCTTTTCCTCATTTGGCCCTTTGGGCACCCTCTACTCTCCCCAGATCCAGCTTCTACTCCCATAAAATGGGAATGGTCACTCCAATCTATCTCATTAGGATGTTAAGAACTGAGTTTAGGTTTAATTCGGACACGATAACCAGGCTTTCAGGTCAGCCAGACCTGAGGCTAAACAGGACTCCAGGCTGGATGTGGTGGCTCACACCTGTAATCTCAGCACTTTGAGAGGCCGAAACAAGAGGATGACTTGAGCCCAGGAATCCAAGACCAGCCTGGCAAAACCCCCTCTCTACAAACGTGGTGAAACCTCCTGTCTGCAAAAAATATACAAAAATTAGCTGGGTGTGGTGGCCTGCGCCTGTAGTCCCAGCTTCTCGGGAGGCTAAAGTGGGAGGATCAAGTGAGCCTGGGGAGGTTGAGGCTGCAGTGAGCCATGATTACACCACTTCACTGCAGCTTGGGCACAGAGCAGGACCCTGTCTTAAAAAAATAAATAAATATGGCCAGGTGTGGTGGCTCACACCTGTAACGCCACCACTTTGGGAGGCCATGACAGGCGATCAGCTGAGGTCAGGAGTTCTATACCAGCCTGGCCAACATAGTGAAACCCCATCTCTACTAAAAATACAAAAAAAATTAGCTGAATGTGGTGGCGGGCACCTGTAATCCCAGCTGCACAGGAGGCTGAGGCAGGAGAATCGCTTGAACCCAGGAGGCAGAGGGTACAGTGAGTCAAGATCGCACCACTGCACTCCAGCCTGGGTGACAGAGCAAAACTCCATCTCCAAATAAATAAATAAATAAATAAATAAATAAATAAATAAATCAGCAGGACTCCACCAAGGATAAGGGGTATTGCCTTATCCAGCCTGGGTGACAGAGCGAGACTCTGTCCACCCCACCACCACCCCGCCAAACAAAACAGAGCAAAGTCAAGTCCATTGTCTTACACAATTTAGTTATTTCCTCGTGATGTCACCTAATTTGTTCCTCTATCCTATTTATTTCCTGTAAACCGAGAGTTAGATCTAAAGGCTTGATTAGACCCAGGCTACATACTCTTGGCAAGAATCTGTTACGAGTAGTACTGTATGTATGCTTCGCATGGCCCAGTTGCTCTGCTTTTCTTTGGGTGGATGGAATTGATGGATCAATGGGTGATTGCTAGACATCTTTACTGAAGAAGAATTAGTCCCCTTATGACTTGAAAGTCAGCTGTGGCATGTGGTGCTGGCACCCTGCCACATGCACGTAGGCAGGATTTTGACAGACCATTCCAGGCAGAGGCGAAAGCCTCACCAAGGTGGAAGGTATGGAATGTGTTCAGGGGTGGGGAACAGCTCGATGCCATTGGCTCTCAGGGAGTCTGTGGCTGGGCCAAACTGCACAGAATTGTGAAGCGGGCGCGAAGAATGAGGATGCTGTTGACAGGCAGGAGAGAGCTGGGAAGGTCTTGGGCTGAGTGATAACTAGAGTAACGATGAGAAAAAAAAATGGGCAGCACTGGACAGCAAAAAAGTTCCTCTGTGGTGGGGTAGGGATGGCAAGAATGGGGGTGTCCCTGTCCCCACTTCCACAAGCCCTCAGGTGGCCAGGACCCTGTGCCCCAGATAGCAGGAATCCTGTGCTGTTCTTGGGGGGCATGAGGGACTCTCTTAGGCCTGGAAGTAGCACAGAAAGCAGCTCTGGAGAGGATGGGGAGATCGGGGCACTCCCGCAGGACCAGGGTGGGAGAAGGGAGGGGCATGATGAGGGGGCCACCCTGCCACCACCTCCAGGCATTTCCTGATACTCCTTCCCTCTCTCCAGTGTCTGCTGGTACAGAGGGAAGGTGAAGGGTGAGTGGCTGAGTGACTATGCTGCTGAAAGCTCTAGACTTGGGGACTGCGATCATGGGTTCAGCAAATCCTCCTGACAGGGAGGCCGAGGCAGGAGGATCGCTTGAGCCCAGGAGTTTGAGACCAGCCTGGGTAACATGGCAAAACCCCGTCTCTACAAAAATCAGCCGGGAAGGGATAGAGAGAAAATCCCAAGGCCCCTGGGGGACGTTGTTGATCTATGCATCTCTGGATCCCAGCAGGGAGCCTGCAGTCAGCAGGGGCTTGGTTCAGAGTCTGCTGAAAGAAAGATCGAGTCCAACTTCATATCGATAGATGGGGAAACTGAGGCCCGGAGCCACCCCAGATTACCCACAGCATCAGGGTGGAGAACCTCCCTCCCACCACCAAGATGAGCAGAATGTGGGCAGCTCAGGACCCAGGAGAGTGTCCTAGCCTCCCTGCCTCCACCTCCCGGCCTCTTCCTCCTCGCTTTGCACCCACTCCCATCTCTGCTCTGGCCCCAGCCCAGAGAACAACATGGGTGCCAACCCATCCCTGAGAACTCTGGCTCTTGGCTCCTCAACTCTGCAGCTGTGCCCTGGAGAAGCCCTGCCTCTCGTGTGGCCTGAGTTCTCCATCTGCTCAAGGAGGGCATTGGGCTAGTGCACCAGGGAGGAGCTCCCCAGCTCTGGCCTTCCAAGGTCATTCTCCATGAGAGTTGGCAACAGAACCACACAGGGCCAGCCAGCAGGCCTTCAGTGAAGGCTGCAGAGGCTTTCCAGCCTTGGAAGCACATTAAAACACAGCCCGCCTTCAGGGAAGCCATCCCTAAAGGCAGTGGCAGCAATCCCTGAGACTCCAGAAGAGGCAACAGCCCTACCTTGGGCCAGGACTGAGCTGTACTGGTGTCTTGAGGGAAACCAATTGTGGAGCCAGCATCCCACGCTATGAGCCAGATGGGCTGGGCAGAGGGGTCACAGACCCCAAGGCCAGGGTTCTCTCTCTCCTCAGCCACCCTCCACCCAATGGGCTGCCTGGGGTGTGGGGCTATGAGGCTAGCTACTTCCTGAGGTGGCAGAGCATCCTTGGCAGGGGCCAAGGTCCACTTAGGCTCAAGAATCTGTCCCGGCCTGAGCACATGGGAAGTGACTAGCCTTCTCATTCCCACTGTCCAATCCCTCTTTTTGTAACTGGGGAAACCGAGGCCCAGAGAGGGACAAGGAGGGATGAAAACTGAGGTCCAGTGTTCTTTCTGCTCTGTCCATGCAAGGACACAGGAGGAGCCCGGGTGCGATGGCTCACGCCTGTAATCCCAGCACTTTGGGAGGCCAAGGTGGTGAATCACCTGAGATCAGGAGTTCGAGACCAGCCTGACCAACATGGTGAAATCCTGTCTGTACTAAAAATAAAAAAGTTATCTGGGCATGGTGGTACATGCCTGTAATCCCATCTACTTAGGGGGCTGAGGCAGGAGAATCCATTGAACCTGGGAGGTGGAGGTTGCCGTTGAGCCAAATTACACCACACTGCACTCCAGCCTGGGTGACAGAGCGAGACTCCATCTCAAAAAAAAAAAAAAGAACAGAGGAGGAAGAAGGGGTAGGGGTGGGAGGAAAAAAGAGAGAAGGGAAAAGAGGAGAGAAAGGGGAGAGAGAGAAGAGGGGAGGAAGGGTAAGGAAGGGGAGAAAAGGAAGAGAGGGGAGGAGGGAGAAGACGGGGAGGAAGAAGGGGCCTGCCCAGGGAAGCGGTACACTTCGTAAAGAACAAGAGCTAGGTGGGACAACTGCTGGGGAGTAGAGATCCTTATTTCCTGGCACCCGACTATGTTCCAAAGAAGTATTTAGAAAGCGAGGACTTTGGGACCCAGCGCAGTGGCACATGCCTATAATCCCAGCACTTTGGGAGGCCAAGGTGGGCGGATCACTTGAGGTCAGGAGTTTGAGACCAGCCTGGCTAACATGGTGAAACCAGTCTCTACTAAAAATACAAAAATTAGCCAGCTGTGGAGTAGCCCTAGCTACTCAGGAGGCTGAGGCAGGAGAATCGCTTGAACCTGGGAGTTGGAGGTTGCAGTGAGCCGAGATCACGCTGCTGCACTCCAGCCTGGACAACAAGAGTGAAACTCTGTCTCAAAAAAAAAAAATATATATATATATATATTTCCCCTGCACTTAGGTTCACCAGCCAGGAAATGAGGGATCCTGGATTGATCCCACCCACCCACCCAGCAGGCTCTGAGGTCTGAGCTCAAGATCAGCAGGCTCCACCACCTGCCTCCAGCCCCACTTCGAGGACCAATGTGAGGACTAAGTGAGTTTATGTCCCTAGGGTGCTGGGTCAGAGCCTAGAGCACAGGCTTTTCCTCATTTGGCCCTTTGGGCACCCTCTACTCTCCCCAGATCCAGCTTCTACTCCCATAAAATGGGAACGGTCACTCCAATCTATCTCATTAGGATGTTAAGAACTGAGTTTAGGTTTAATTCGGACACGATAACCAGGTTTTCAGGTCAGCCAGACCTGAGGCTAAACAGGACTCCAGGCTGGATGTGGTGGCTCACACCTGTAATCTCAGCACTTTGAGAGGCCGAAACAAGAGGATGACTTGAGCCCAGGAATCCAAGACCAGCCTGGCAAAACCCCCTCTCTACAAACGTGGTGAAACCTCCTGTCTGCAAAAAATATACAAAAATTAGCTGGGTGTGGTGGCCTGCGCCTGTAGTCCCAGCTGCTCGGGAGGCTAAAGTGGGAGGATCGAGTGAGCCTGGGGAGGTTGAGGCTGCAGTGAGCCATGATTACACCACTTCACTGCAGCTTGGGCACAGAGCAGGACCCTGTCTTAAAAAAATAAATAAATATGGCCAGGTGTGGTGGCTCACACCTGTAATGCCACCACTTTGGGAGGCCATGACAGGCGATCACCTGAGGTCAGGAGTTCTATACCAGCCTGGCCAACATAGTGAAACCCCATCTCTACTAAAAATACAAAAAAAATTAGCTGAATGTGGTGGCGGGCACCTGTAATCCCAGCTGCACAGGAGGCTGAGGCAGGAGAATCGCTTGAACCCAGGAGGCAGAGGGTACAGTGAGCCAAGATCGCACCACTGCACTCCAGCCTGGGTGACAGAGCAAAACTCCATCTCCAAATAAATAAATAAATAAATATATCAGCAGGACTCCACCAAGGATAAGGGGTATTGCCTTATCCAGCCTGGGTGACAGAGCGAGACTCTGTCCACCCCACCACCACCCCGCCAAACAAAACAGAGCAAAGTCAAGTCCATTGTCTTACACAATTTAGTTATTTCCTCGTGATGTCACCTAATTTGTTCCTCTATCCTATTTATTTCCTGTAAACTGAGAGTTAGATCTAAAGGCTTGATTAGACCCAGGCTACATACTCTTGGCAAGAATCTGTTACGAGTAGTACTGTATGTATGCTTCGCATGGCCCAGTTGCTCTGCTTTTCTTTGGGTGGATGGAATTGATGGATCAATGGGTGATTGCTAGACATCTTTATTGAAGAAGAATTAGTCCCCTTATGACTTGAAAGTCAGCTGTGGCATGTGGTGCTGGCACCCTGCCACATGCACGTAGGCAGGATTTTGACAGACCATTCCAGGCAGAGGCGAAAGCCTCACCAAGGTGGAAGGTATGGAATGTGTTCAGGGGTGGGGAACAGCTCGATGCCATTGGCTCTCAGGGAGGCTGTGGCTGGGCCAAACTGCACAGAATTGTGAAGCGGGCGCGAAGAATGAGGATGCTGTTGACAGGCAGGAGAGAGCTGGGAAGGTCTTGGGCTGAGTGATAACTAGAGTAACGATGAGAAAAAAAATGGGCAGCACTGGACAGCAAAAAAGTTCCTCTGTGGTGGGGTAGGGATGGCAAGAATGGGGGTGTCCCTGTCCCCACTTCCACAAGCCCTCAGGTGGCCAGGACCCTGTGCCCCAGATAGCAGGAATCCTGTGCTGTTCTTGGGGGGCATGAGGGACTCTCTTAGGCCTGGAAGTAGCACAGAAGCAGCTCTGGAGAGGATGGGGAGATCGGGGCACTCCCGCAGGACCAGGGTGGGAGAAGGGAGGGGCATGATGAGGGGGCCACCCTGCCACCACCTCCAGGCATTTCCTGATACTCCTTCCCTCTCTCCAGTGTCTGCTGGTACAGAGGGAAGGTGAAGGGTGAGTGGCTGAGTGACTATGCTGCTGAAAGCTCTAGACTTGGGGACTGCGATCATGGGTTCAGCAAATCCTCCTGACAGGGAGGCCGAGGCAGGAGGATCGCTTGAGCCCAGGAGTTTGAGACCAGCCTGGGTAACATGGCAAAACCCCGTCTCTACAAAAATCAGCCGGGAAGGGATAGAGAGAAAATCCCAAGGCCCCTGGGGCCTAGTCCCCCAGCTCTCCCAGCTTATCTTTTCTGGACAGTAAGGAGGGCTGCCCTCTGCCTGTGCCCACGCTGGCTGTACCAGAAGGAAGGGGCCTGGGTCCCTGAATGACCACATGGAAGGTTGCCCAAGACTGAGAATGCTTGATTAGACTTTGTGTGAGAAGAAAGAACTTCTGTTGAGTTGAGCCACTGAGATTCAGAGGTGTTTGTTGCAGGAGGTAGCCGTTCTGGACTAACACTCCCTCCCTCTCTCCAGCATCTGCTGGTGCAGGGAGAAGGTGAAGGGTGAGTGGATGAGTGACTATTGCTGCTGAAAGCTCTAGACTTGAGGACTGTGTTCATGGTTTGACAGCTGGTGCGAAGATGGGCTGGGATCTCTGGGACAAATGTCTGGGCTTCCCATCAGCACCTGTGCAACCACTCCCAGGTCCTTGTGTCCAGCCCAGACTCCCCACCACTCACATGGTGACCTTGGGCAAGGCACTGCCTATTTCAGAGTGAAGGCTTCCCCAGTGGGAGACAGGAGATCATGGCGCCCCCTGCCCCATCTCACAGGTACAGCAAATGCCAGGCACAGTGACTCGCTCCTATAATCCCAGCACTTTGGGAAGTCGAGGCAGGAGGATCTCTTGAGCCCAGGAGTTTGAGACCAGCCTGGGTATCATGCAAAACCCTGTCTCTACAAAAATTAGTCAGGAATGCATAGATAGACCCAAATCGCAGCCTTTAGCCTGGCCCAACCACCTGAAAATGGTCTCCACCCAGGGTGCCTTCACTCAGTTACACCCCATTCTCTGCCTCCTGCCACAGAGAGAGAGTGTGTGTACTAGCCTATAACAGCCAGCTTTCTCCCAGGGCCACCCTGTCCCCCTCTCATGTAGTTCCTAAAATTATTCAATTCATCCGTTTGGCTTCTTAAGTATTTACTCTGTTTTCATATACATATATAACTCCAGCTTTTAATAACAAGCCAAGCGTAGTCATTCACACCATAGCATGAATTTGCTTCTCTGCTATTTAGGGAAGGAGGCAGGGAAAGTGGAATTGGGGGGGGTATTCTGAAGAGGTCAGGCCTGGGTATTGGAGGTTGGAGGACCATCCAAAAAAGCCTGAGGGGAGAAGGAAGTGTGAGCAGACATGAAAGTAGGTGAAATGGGGAAGAAAGGAATAGGAGTCTTCTCTTAGGGAAAAAAAGGGGAAGCTGGGCACGATGGCTCATGCCTGCAATCCCACCACTTTGGGAGGCCAAAGAGGGTGGATCACTTGAGGTCAGGAGTTCAAGACCAGTTTGGCTGACATGGTGAAACCCTGTCTCTACTAAAAATACAAAAATTAGCCAGGCATGATGACACACACCTGTAATACCAGCTACTTGGGAGGTGGAGGCAGGAGAATCGCTTGAACCAGGAAGGTCGAAGTTGCAGTAAGCCGAGATCATGTCGATGCATTCCAGCCTGAGTGACAGAATGAGACCCTGTCATAAAATAAAAAGGGGTCAGGGGGCAGGCACAGTGGCTCATGCTTGTCATTCCAGCACTTTGGGAGGCCAAGGCGGGCAAATTATCTGAGGTCAGGAATTCGAGACCAGCCTGGCCAACATGGTGAAACCTCATCTCTACTAAAAATGCAAAAGTCAGTCAGGTGTGGTGGCAGGCACCTGTAATCCCAGCTACTCAGGAGGCTGAGGCAGGAGAATCGCTTGAACCTGGGAGATGAAGGCTGCAGTGAACCAAGACTGCACCATTGCACTCCAACCTGGGTGACAAAAGCGAAACTCCATCTCAAAAAAAGGGGGAGGGGAAGAAAGGTGAATCTGGGCAAATTTGGAGCTTCACATTGACCCAGTGGGCTCCTTTCTAGTGACCTTGAGTCTCTGTATCGACATGTAACTGCCTTTTGGCAGGGAGAGGGGAGGGACATGAGTTTTATTGATTTTGTCTGCAGCCACTTTCTGGACTCCAATTCTGAGCCAGGCCCTGTCTGCAGTGCCCCTAGAGGCTGAGAGATGAGAACAACTTAGATATGAACCTTGGTCCAAGAAGTGGGGAGGTGAGGGAGACAAGCCGCCAAATCCCAAGAATCTGGGAAGACTATGACTAGGGGCATTAAGCGGGGACAGAGGGCCAGGGGACGTCTAATACATGAAATGCAATTACCAGCTGCTTGGGCAAGCAGTGCTTTGGAGGGCTGGTGGGGCTCCACAGGTGCAGGTGGTGAGAATTTCTGGGTGTCGGCAACATCCCGGGCAAAAACCCCGAAGTGGGATGTGTGGTATGGGTTTGGAGAACAGGGAGCTAGAACCCAACATGCATGAAGGGAAGTGGGCAGGCTGGAGATAGGGATGGAACCCAGATCCAGAGGGCCGCGTGCAGGCTTGGGAGCCCTGACCTCAGCTTAGGGCCGTGGGGAGTCATGGGAGGGTTTGAGCAGGGGAAGTCACTGATGGGAATAGGACCCATTGGCTGCAGGGAGGCAGAGGATGGGTTAGAGGGGTCAGGGAGGAGATGGGAGTGACAGCACAGAAGGGACAAAGGGTGACAGCCTCAGGGATGGAGATCAGGGAATGCAGAGTTGGCACAGGCTTCCGGCGGGGAGCAGCTGTAATGGCAGGGAGGTAGGGCTCCTGAGCTTTCCTGTAGGAGCCAAGGCCATGGTCATCAGAGTAGGTTCCTCATTCTCTCAGCTTCTTGAGAATCATCTTCACCCAGAGCGCTCTGGGGTCGGCACAGATCTCCTTATCCCTGAATGTTTTCAAGCTGGAAGGAGAAGACCCCAGAGACAATGCAGCAACATTAGCATGCAGCAAGGATTAGCATTTATGAACCACATACAGTATGCAGGGCTCAGCATTTATGAGTCACCTACTGCACATAAGGTTACCTGCTAAATAGAGTGGTTCAAAATTTATGAGCTACCTGTGGTCTGAAAAGAATGTTTCTCAAGAAGAAGAGGAGGTCAGGAGCTCACATCTGTAATCCCAGCATTTTGGGAGGCCGAGGCAGGAGGATCGTTTGAGCCTGGGAGTTTGAGCCCATCCTGGGCAACATGGCGAAACCCTGTCTCTACAAGAACATATAAGTCAGCTAGGCATGGTGGCATGTGCCTGTGGTCTCAGCTACCTGGGAAGTTGAGGTGGGAGGATTGTTTGAGATCAGATCAAGGCGGCAGGGAGCCCAGATCTCTCCACTACACTCCAGCCTAGGCAATAGAGACAGACCCTGTGCTGAGAAAATGAAAAAGAGGAAGAGGAGCAGCAAAGACTTCCAGGACCCTCAGCTCTTAGTCCCAGTCTTGAGTTCCAGGTCAGGACATGAAATAGAATCACCAAGACTTGTTTTTGTTTTGTTTTGTTGCTTTTGTTTTTTGAGATAGAGTCTCTTGTCATTCAGGCTGGAGTGCAGTGGCATGATCTCTGCTCACTGCAGCCTCTGCCTCCAGGTTCAAGCGATCCTCCTGCCTCAGCCTCCCAAGTAGCTGGGATTACAGGCTTGAGCCACCATGCCCAGCTAATTTTTGTATTTTTAGTAGAGATGGGGTTTCACCATGTTGGCCAGGCTGGTATTGAACTTCTGACCTCTGAACTTCTGATCCTCCCAACTAGGCCTCCCAAAGTGCTGAGATTACAGGTGTAAGCCACTGCACTCAGGCTTTTTTTTTTTTTTTTAAACAAGACAGAGTCTTACTAAATTACCAAGCCAGTCTCCAAATCCAGGGCTCAGGCAATCCTCCTGTCTCAGCCTCTGGAACTACCGTGCCCAGCAATTGAGCATCTATTACGTGCCAAACATTGAGCTCTTCACCTTCCTCTTACTGCTACTGTGTCCTGCAATGCTCCAGAGGCCCCCTAACCTCTCTGTGCTCATTTCCTCACCTGTCCCTTGCTAAGCCTTTCAAAAGGGGACCATGACGGCACATACCACATAGGGTAGTTCCAAGGATTAAATGAGTTCACATTTATAAAGTGCTTACAGCGGTGCCTAGCACTTAGCAAGCACTCTCTATGTGTTTGATAAACACAAATAAGTGAAATAAGTAAAGGTTATTACTCCATTGTACTGTTGGGGAAACTGAGGCTCAGAGTTAAAGAGACAAGAATGCTGGGAGGCTTTCCTGCTTCAGTCTTCTTTATTATTCACCTGCAGATTCCTCAAAGAGATGGGATCAGCAGTGAGGAGGAAGGAGATGAGAAGATATTAGAGCCCCAAAGTGGGTCATGAGCCCCCAAACCAGCCTCCCCCAGTGTGTGATTTGGTGGGCAGCAGGTTCTGAGCATTTGGAAAACCAGCCAGAGAGGCTACCACAGAGAGAGCAGTACCCGTCCTCGAGCCAGGCACAGGCCCCAGGCCAGGGAAAAGGAGGCAAAGAAGCCAGAGAAAGAAACAGAGGAGAACAAGGAACCCAGGAGAAAACCCTGAATGAGGAACCAGGAGTGAGTTCTGCCTCAGCCTGGGCAGCCTTGAGCAGGTCACTGTCCCTTGCTAAGCCTGTTTATCCATCTTTACCATGGGAATCATTGAACCTCCTCATAAGAGTGTTGTAAGAATTAAATCAGTTAACATAGGTACTGATTAGAATAGTGCCTGGCACTCGGGAGGCACCCTGGAAATTTTAGCTCTTAATTGTTATTCTTCTGGTCAAAATGGGCTGCCTCGGATGACTCCTGGGAGCCTGGAGAGGATCCAATATGCTTCTACTGTGCTTTTTAAAAAAAATTAAAATTAAAATTAAAAAAACAAAGTCTCACTCTGTTGCCCAGGCTGGAGTGAGGTCAAACGATCTCAGCTCACTGCAACCTCCACCTCCCGGGTACAAGCGATTCTCCCACCTCAGCCTCCCGAGTATCTGGGACCACAGGCATGTACCACCACACTCAGCTAATTTTGTATTTTTACTAGAGACGAGGTTTTGCCATGTTGACCAGGCTGATCTCGAACTACTGACCTCAAGTGATCAACCTGCCTTGGCCTCCCAAAGTACTGGAATAACAGGCGTGAGCCACGGCACTCAGCTCACCATCCATTTTTGCCAGAACCTGGGATGATCTTTGCTGACTCAGTGACACCAGGCATACTCCTATATCTGCTCTACCCAAATACCCTAGATACCACAGCTACTGACTGCCTACCGCCATGCCCACACTGGGCGGCACCCTGTTCACTCAGCTCTGCATCCTCAGAACCTGACATGTTGCCTGGCACATAGTAAGCGCCTGATAATATTTGCTGAATGGTCACATTATTTTCATATGTAGTACACCCAAGCCTGAACTGAGCCATCTCTTCCAGCCAAGCCATCCTGGAAGGCATCCAATAGCCTGCCACATCCGTGGGTGTGTCCCACCCACCAGCACGTGGGCCATCCCAGGCCGTACCCATCGGGCCCTCCCAGGCCCTGTGGCCCCAGCTCCGTACTCACACCACGCCAGGCCTCAGGCAGGAGTCCGAGGTCCAATAGAAGTGTTTCACCACACGCCAGGGCAGACGGTAACGGACATAGTCACGGCAGCAGATGCTGTCTTCCATGTTGGCACCGTAGGGACCTGGGAGAGGGGTACCCAGGGAATTCACAAGCTGGAGCCCAGAGAGGTCACCCTCCGCCCCAGCCCCTGACCTCGGCCTCTCCAGGCTCCAGAAAAGAGATGCAGTTTTTCTGTTCTCGTGGAAGGATGGTGACCAGAAGATTCTGAGCCCTCCAAGACACTACTCTTGGAGTTTCCGAGAAGCCACTTAGGGCCCAATGTCTATATTCTGGGATAGTCAGCTCCAGGAGCAGCGATTCAGAACAACTAAGCATCAGCTGTACCCCAAGATGAGACTTGGTGACTCTGAGCCACAAGGAGCCTTAGATTCTTGCTGCTCAAGGTGAGGTCTGTGGTCCATGGCATCAGCGTCACCTGGGAGCTTGTCAGAAATGCTCAGTCCCCAGATCCAGACCCACTGAATCCGGTGTGCATTTGACAGGCTCCCGGGTGATCCATCAGGATGTGGGCATTTGGATAGTCTGCTTCTGCTCATGTCTGCTCCAAACCCCTTCAGTGCGCACTAGGGAGCCTGTGGTCCAGAGACGGGGAGGCACTTGCCCAGGGTCACACAGCAAGATGCAGCAGAGTCAGGACCAAGGCTCAACAGAGGACAGTCTTGTAGATCCGAGTTCGAATCCTGTTTTCCCCTGACTCACTGGGCCACACTGACCAAGTCACTGAACACCTCTGAGGCCCAATTTTCTCCTCTGACCAAAGGAGTAATAACAGTACCAACTTCAGAGGGTCTTTAATGCATGAACGCACTCAGAAAGCCCAGCAGCTGGGAGCGATCCTTGTTCATAGATGCCCAGCCCTGCTCCAGCGCTCACTCCTCCACCCAAAACAGCACGAGTATAGGGCGGGGTGGAGAAGAGGAGTCAGGAACCCGTGCTGAGGACAGGTTCTGGGCAAAAATGGGCAGTGAGCTGGGGGCAGTGGCTCATGCCTGTAATCCTAGCACTTTGGGAGGCCGAGGCAGGAGTATCAGAGTATCACTTGAGGTCAGGAGTTCGAGACAAGCCCAGTCAACATGGTGAAACCCTGTCTTTACTAAAAATACAAAACTTAGCCGAGCATGGTGGCAAGTGCCTGTAATCCCAGCTATTCAGGAGGCTGAGGCAGGAGAATCACTTTAACTAACCCCAGAGTTAGAGGTTGCAGTGAGCTGAGATTGCACCACTGCGCTCCAGCCTGGGCGATAGAGACTCCATCTCGAAAAATAAATAAAGTAAAATATAATTTTAGGCTGGGCACGGTGGCTCATACCTGTAATCCCAGTTTGGGAGACCAAGACAGGTGGATCACCTGAGGTCAGGAGTTCAAGACCAGCCTGGCCAACATGGTGAAAACCCATCTCTACTAAAAATACAAAAATTAGCTGGGTGTGGTGGCACATGCCTGTAATCCCAGCTACTGAGGAGGCTGAGGCAGGAGAATCACTTTAACCCAGGAGGCAGAGGTTGCAGTGAGCCAAGATTGCCCCATTGCACTCCAGCCTGGGCAACAAAAGCAATACTCGGTCTCAAAAAATAAAATAAAATAAATAAAAATAATAATAAATTTTTTAAAATGGATGATGGGAGAATAGCACCAGCTTTCCAAGTCAGAATGCTTTGCCGCAGCCCCCTGCCTTCTCTGACGAAGGTCTGCCCCCTTAGAAGCTCCTCACCCACACTCCTAGGGCCCTATGCTTGAGATTTCTGGGGCAGAAGATCCCAAAGCTGTTCCCATCGCAACCCCCAACCTAGCTGAGACAGATCCTAGACTCCAAGCCTTCAAGGCTACCCATTCAACAGACATGTAAATTGAAGGCCAGGGAAGCACTGCAACTAGCCTAAGGCCTCAAGAGCCAACAGCAGATTGAGGTCTTCCAATCTCAGTCCAGTGCTTGTCTAAGACATGAGGAAGACACCCCAGCGTCCACCCTGGCCTCCGCAGGGGGACTTCCTGCCCCCCAGCCTCACCTGCCTCAGTTGCTTGAAGCGCCACAGCAAGGAGGACGAGGGGAGCCAGGAGCACGGTCTGTAGGCGAGCCATACTCTGTCCTGTATGTGTCAGCCCAGGTGTCTGCAAAGGGCCATAGGAGACCTGGTTTTTAAGTTGCGCAGGCTCCGCCCACAAACCTCACTCACTTACTTCTTAGTCACTGGGGTGTCCAGAATCTCTTGACATTCACATCACCAAAAGAACTGCCTCTCACTTCCCCCAAAATGGAGAAATTCTCTTTGGTGGGGAACCACTCAGAGGGGACCCCCCTCTGCCTCAACTCTGTCCTCTCCTCTGGTTTCAGAGACTTGTAAAATCCCCCTCTTAGAGGCTCGTGCTCCCTGGGGTCTCCTCGCTGTGTGGCTTTGGCCATGTCTGGGTGTCTCTGGGACTTGGTCTCCCTATCTGGTAACAGAGATGGTTTCACAGGCCTGTTGACTTCACTGGTGTAGATCAAGTGCGAGTGTGAAGCCACCCTCACCTGGAATTGAGGCCTGTCTTGTACCCTTCGTGACGGCATCGCTGACCTCTCTTCAATGAGAGAGGCCTACGAACCCGTTGACCTATCGCCAGCCTCCTCTGGGGCTTCTTGCGAAGTCCACATTGGCCAGGTCGTGGATTTCTCAATGGTTTATGAAAAGCACACCCACACTTCTGTCCTGCCTGATCTTCCTTCCCAGTGGCTACCAGGCCCTTCCTCCCCAACTCCCTCTCAGACCCTCATCATGTCCGTGTCTCATCGACAATGTTTCCTAAATCTCCCTCAGTTCTGCCCCCTTCTCTCTAACACCACTGTCCCTGCCCAGTCCAGGCCACCTCCACCTCGGGCTGGGCTGCTGGCCCCCTCGATGCCGTCCCTACCCTGCAGCAGCCAGAATAGGCAGTCCAGAGCTGCACACTCTCTTTCCTGCCTCAAAGCCCTGCTGTGGCTCCCCATTCACCTAAGGGCAGAGCCCGGGCTCCTGTCTGTGGCCTTCAAGGCCCCCTTCCCACACAGGCCTCTCCCCTGTGGTCTCCCTCCCGTGAGGAACTCCTCACAGTTCCTCAAAAGGGACTGTGGCCTGTCCCTGGCCTTTAGTGTTGCTCTTTACATCCCTACTGCATAAACTCCTACTCAGGCACCAAAGTTGTGTGAAATGTCACATCCTGGGTAAGCACAGGACCTTAAAGCCTTCTAGAGGACCTGGCATGTGGGCCTGAGCAGATTGTGTCAGGTTTTCTCTTTCTCAAGCCCCTCCCTAGAAGCCAGACTCCAAGCTCTTGGAAGACCGGGTTTCCCTTCATTTTTCTTGGCATTCCCAGTGCCCTCTAAGGATCAGGCACATTGTGAGTGCTCAGAACACATCTAATGGGCTGCATGCAGTGGCTCACGACTGTAGTCCCAGCATTTTGGGAGGCTGAGGCAGGTGGATAACCTGAGGTCAGGAGTTCAAGACCAGCATAGCCAACATGGAGAAACCCCGTCTCTACCAAAAAATACAAAAATTGGCCAGATATCCCAGGTACTAGGGAGGCTGAGGCAAGAGAATGACTTGAATTTGGCGAGAGGTGGAGGTTGCAGTGAGCTAAGATTGTGCCACTGCACTCTAGCCTGGGTGACAGAATGAGACTCCATCTCAAAACAAAACAAAAAACATATCTAATGAAGGAGGAAACTGAGGTTCAGAGAAAGACCGGACTTGCCCAGTTCACACATCCACACAGCGGCTACGCCAGGCCTGGGACTCAGACTTGGGACTCCATTTGAAAGGGATCCATCCATTTATCCATTCCTTCATTCAACAAATATTTAGTGAACCTTGTGGCAGACAGAATAATGGCCCCCAAAATGTTCACATTCGAATCCCCAAAACCTATACATACATTACTTTACATGGTAAAAAAGACTTTGCAGATGTGACTAATTAGAGTTTAGAATTTTTTTTTTTTAGAGGCAGGATCTCTCTCTGTTACACAGGCTGAAGTGCAGTGATGCAATCACAGCTCACTGCAGCCTCGACCTCCTGAGCTCAAGTGATCCTCCTGCCTCAGCCTCTCAAGTAGCTGGGACTATAGGTGCATGCCACCATGCCCTGTTAATTTTTATTTTTTGTAGAGATGCGGTCTCACTATGTTGCCAGGGCTGGTCTCGAACTCCTGGCCTCAAGCAATCCTCCCACCTTGGCCTCTTGAAGTGCTAGGATTATGGATGTGAGCCACCATACCCAACTTAGGGTCTTTAAGAGGGAGATTTCTTGGATTATCTGGACAGGCCCAAGGTAATCACAGGGCAGGGTCATTTCAAGAGGGAGACAGTGGGTCAGAGTTAGAAGAGATGATGGATGACAGAGCAGAGGTCCCAGTGACGTGGAACCCAGGGATGCAGGCAGGCTGGAGAAGACGGAAGAGGCAGGGAAAACAGATTCTCCTCTAGAGCCTCCAGAAAGAGCTCATCCCTCCCACACCTTGATTTTAGTCCCCTGAGACTGATCTAGGACTTCTGACCTCCCAGGCTATTGGATAATACACATTTGTGATGTTTTAAGCACCCAAGTTCATGGTCATTTGTTACAGCAGCCAGAGAAAGCTCACACAAGCACCTACTATGTGCCAAGTGCACTGCCAGAGTCTGGGAATGCAGCTTGAACAGGAGAGCAGGGGCCCCTGCTCTCATGGAGTTTGTCTTCGACAACAGACAAACATGGAAAACAAGGTAATGTCAGGCTGGGAGGAACACCAGGCAGCGAATGAAACAGAGAAGCAGCTCTGGGACAGGCAGTCACAAAAGGCTTCTAGGAGGGGTGATATTTCAGCTGAAATTCAAAGACAGAAAGGAGGCTGGGTGCGGTGGCTTACACTTCTAATCCTAGCACTTTGGGAGGCTGAGGCAGGCAGATCACCTGTGGTCAGGAGTTCAAGACCAACCTGGTCAACCTGTTGAAACCTTGTCTCTACTAAAAATACAAATATTAGCCAGACATGGTGGTTATTTTTTTTGCACACCTGTAATCCCAGATACTTGGGAGGCTGAGGCAGATACCCGGGAGGTGGAGGTTGCAGTGAGCCGAAATTGCCTGGGTGACGGAGCAAGACTCGGAAAAAGAAAGAGAGAAAGAGAAGAAAGAAAAAGAAAAAGAGAGAGAGAAAGAAAGAAAGAGGAAAGAAAGAAAGAAAGAGAAAGAAAGAAAGAAAGAAAGAGAAAGAAAGAAAGAAAGAAGAAAGAAAGAAAGAAAGAAAGAAAGAAAGAAAGAAAGAAAGAAAGAAAGAAAGAAAGAAAGAAAGAGGAGAAACATGCAAGGAAGGAAGGAGTGAGCCTGCCAGGGGGGACATAGCAGATGCAAAGGCCCAGACAGTGAGAGAGCTGAACAGCTGAGACGGAGTGGGTAGAGACAGAGTGGGTAGAGGAGCAGAGCGCAGCTGAGGGGAGAGGCTGGCAGGTGGGGACTGCAGGGTTCCCGTGAGCTCTTGCCAGGACGCAATCTGAAGGGCACTGCGTTACCTCAGTGGACCTCCTGTCAAAAGGCATGACCCAGGGTCAGTCACAAAAGAACAAACACTATGATTCCACTGCTTTGGGGAACCCGGAATAGTCACAGTCACAGAGACAGAAAGCAGAACGGAGGTTGCCAGGGGCTGGGGAATGTGAGTTAGTATTTCATGGGGACACAGTCTCTGTTTTGCGATAAAAGCTCTGGAGGTGGATGGTAGTGATGGTTGCACGATGTGAATGTACTTAATTCCACTGAACTAGACCCTTAAAAATGGTTACAATGGTAAATGTTTGTTGTTCACATTTTTTACAATTCTTTTTAACAGGTGCTCCCCTAGAATCAAATCAAGCCCCTAGTATTAATTCCTAGTTTACAAAAAATAAAGGGGCTAAAGGAAGATGATAAATGACCCCATGAGGAAGCAATCAGACAACCCCAGAAGGTGGAAACTTCCAGATCCTCTTCAGGATAACTGTGCCCAGGTCATTAAAAAATTAATGTTGGCCGGGTGCAGTGGCGCACACCTGCGAGCACTGTGGGAAGCCTTGGCTGGCGGATCACTTGAGGTCAGGAGTTTGAGACCAGCCTGGCCAGCATGGTGAAACCCCATCTCTACTAAAAATACAAAAATTTAGCTGGGTGTGGTGATACAGGCTGAGGCATGAGAATCACTTGAACTTGGGAAGAGAAGGTTGCAGTGAGCCAAGATCACGCCACTGCACTCCATCCTGGGTGATGAAGTGAGACTCTGTCTCCAAAATTTAAAAAAAAAAAAAAGTTAATGTTGTTTTTAAAAAAAATAATAAAGGAGATAGAACATTTAAGATTAAAAGATGCTTAAGAGATGTAACAGCAAAATGTAATACATGGACCTTGACTGAATCCTAGTTTTGAAAAAACAGGTAGGGTGTGGTGGCTCATGCCTGTAATCCCAGCATTTTGCGGGGCTGAGGTGAGCAGATCACTTGAGGATAGGAGTTTAAGATCAGTCTGAGCAACATGGTGAAAACCCCTAGCTACAAAAAATACAAAAAAAAATTAACTGAGTGTAGAGGTGTGTTCCTGTAGTCCTACCTACTCGAGAAGCTGAGATGAGAGGATCACTTGAGCCCAGGAGGCAGAGGTTGCAGTGAGCCAAGATCATGCCACTGCACTTCAGCCTGGGTGACAGAGTGAGACCCTATCTTAGAAAAGAAAGAAAAAGAAAGAAGAAAGAAAGAAAGAGAGAGAGAGAGAGGGAGAGAGAAAGGAAGAAGGAAGGAAGGAAGGAAGGAAGGAAGGAAGGAAGGAAGGAAGGAAGGAAGGAAGGAGAAACGGGGCTGGGTGCAGTGGCTCATGCCTATAATCCCAGCACTTTGGGAGGCTGAGGTGGGTGGATCACCTGAGGTCAGGAGTTCGAGACCAACCTGGCCAACATGGTGAAACCCCATCTCTACTAAAAATACGAAAATTAGCCTGGCATGGTGGTGTGCACCTGTAATCCCAGCTACTCGGGAAGCTGAGGTAGGATAATTGCTTAAACCCAGGAGGCGGAGGTTGCAGCGAGCCAAGATGGCGCCATTGTACTCCAGCCTGAGTGACAGAGCAAGACTCCATCTCAAAAACAAAAAAAAAAAGAAA